TTATTTATTTTGCCATGCTCTTCCTGCTCTTTGTGTGTGTGTGTGTGTGTGTGTGTTTCCTCCCTGGGGAGCTGAGGCTGAAGTAATGAAATGCTCATTACTGATTCAGCTGGAAATGCTAGAGATACACTTACACACCTACATACACACACAACCACCAGATATCCAGGCACCTTTCAAGGTCACATTGCATCATGTGTGTGTGTGTGTGTTTGCGAGTCTGTGTGTAAATGAACACAAAGGAATGAACAAGTTGAACACCAATAAGACTGGGCATAATTCAGGTTTGAAGTGAACAGTTCTGTACAATACACCACAGGCACCTCATGTTATACACCATCATTAATGCAGACCGTGTTTTGAACTCTATTACACACACGCACACACACAGAACCAGAGATGAGAGACGAGTGATGACCACTGTCAGTGGTCATACTCATGGGGTAGTTTAACCTTTTCTACAGTGAGTAATGAGTGAGTGTGTGTGTGTGTGTGTGTGTGTTAATAAGAATGCAGGGCTGACATTTCCCTGATCCTCTCAGTGAACTGCAGTGGTAGATTGCAGTATCCAGGTTGGTGCTGTTGCAGATCAGTCAAAACATTCTGCCTTCTTCAGTGACTTCCAGCATATAAACAGCTTCGAGCTACTGTCGTGCAGTTTGCATCCCCAGAGGAGCTGATGTGACAGTTTACAAGGAGGGGCACAAATGGTCTCCATGTGGCTGAAGAGGAGAACACTGGGGCTATGATTCATCATCCCCTCCTTTCCAGGCAAATAAATGTGCCCTCTTCACCACTGACTTGTAATTTAGATATGTTTCCCAAATAATAAGATAAAAATGGAATTGGATTTAGAGGAAGTGTTCGCCCAGGGTGGCGGTACGGGTCCCAAGCAGAACCATAAATCAAAGCTGTGGTGACCCATGGGAAACAGAGCAGCCGGCCCTTCTCTCTTTCACTCAACACTCACATTGTTCTGGGATCCTGTCCAAACCGTTTAGTGTTAAAAGGCAAAGATGTCCCTCCATCCCCCAAAAATATCATTATACATTTTTCTAAATATTATGATTTTTTTTAAATATAGACATATTAGTTTGTTTTTCATTTTTTTTCAGTCATTCAAAGTTAAAGAGTATTTACATCTTAAAATTGAAATCTGCAGTGGTTTTTAAATAATATATTGTTTGCTGTCAGTGTCTAATGCATTTAGTTAGTAATGTGTTACAGTAATGTGAATACTTCAGTCACTAGAAGGGTACAGGATTACAATTCAAAATTCAGCAACTACGTTATAGTTACTAACTCCAGAAACCATGTTACTTTGGTTTGTAGGGGATAGTTTTCACCCTGTGTCACTGGGAGTTTGAAGGAGGGTCCGTAGACTGTATATAAAGGTGAATGACATGCCACCATTTCTGGCCATTATGAAAAAAAGTGAAGCAAAAATATTGTAAATAAGGAGGTGACCATCCTACTTTTGTGATGAATTTTGCAACCAGAGGTGGAGCCACGGTGTCAGGCTGCCAATCAGCGCTGTCAATACACTACAAATACACCGATTTTATATGATCAAATAACTTACTAAAAACAAACCAGTAGGATAATACCTACCTAAAATGACAGAAACCACCTTTGGGGAAAAAATGTATTTCATTTATATTTTGAATCCTTTGTTTGGCCATTGTCCCGTCTGTTAACGTGGAGGTGGCAGGGTTGATGGCCTATACTGCAACCAGCCACAGTGGCTGCGGTGCAGTGGCTTCACCTTCATCCATCTTTATTTACAAGCTGTAGTTTGGTCTCTTTGGGTTCAGTGGACACACTGGTCTGGGATATAGTATGCAGGGTAAGGAGTAACCTCGACCAGGACGTGTGGGGAGCTGTGTGCAGTCACTGAGGTGACGCTAACTGCTGGGTGGTCTGCCAGTGTATTGTTTTCTATTTCTGGATGTGTTAAATACAAGTGATGTGACGTGATGGTGGTTTGCAGGTGTTTAAAGGCACCTTTGAAGGACCTAGCAGCCGGGCAATGAAATTAAAGTAATGAGTAATTAACACCTTACTTTTGAAGCTATTCTTAGTAAGAGGCAGCCTGTCTATGGTGGCCTTGACCCAACTGGGATAAAAACAATTATTAATTAACACTTTCCCTTGTTTTGTATTTTATTGTGCCTTTGTATTGTAAAGGCAAAATATTCTACCTCAAAATCGAGTCAGAATCCATTTCCATTTGCGCATGTAGTTTTTGTAATGTTCAAGCTTTAGCATTCCTGGCTGGTCTGCAACAAGCAGTCCTAAAAAATCCATTCCAGACATGCCGATACCCAAACCTCAGCATATCTGTGATTAATTCTCTTTCATGCATTCCTCTAGTGTACCATCTGAAACAAAACCCCACTGACAGCACAGCATCTTCCTAATAACCAAACACAACACTGTAAATGTATGTGTGTGTCAATAAACACAGTGTGTTTCACAGAAAGCTATGTAGTGGTATAGGTAGTTATGGTAGGTAGTTATGATTTAATCATGCAGATCTGTGTGTAAAACAAAACCAAGTGTTAGAGAAGAATTTGTAACATCCTGTTCTTCTGCACCTTCAGAAGGTAACTTCAGCTAGTTAAAGTATTTGTGTTTAAGATAAGACTGCTGGTGCGTTTGCCCATGTGGATGTAGTGATGGAAAAGTGTCACGGAAGCACAGTCTATTGAGTGAAAACTGACAAGAGCAATGGTTTGTGTGTGTGGGTGTGTGAATGTTTGTGTGATGTGATAGTCCTCATGTTTTGAGGATGTAAGTTTATTTACACAGACACATTATGTGGACAAAATGACTTTATGGGGACAAGAAGCAAATGCCCAAAATCATTCGGTTTTAGAATGATGACCTGGTTTAAAGTTAGGGTGCGTCTCCAGAAAATGAGTCTAAGTCCGTGTAATGTCCCCTGCAGTTATGGCAACACATGTGTGTGTGTGTCTGCCATATGACACATGTTGTGGATTGTTGCCAGGAGACGAACATGCCAAAGGTCATGTAGGAGGAGTCTGCATGCTGCTTACAAACACACACATACACGGATATACAAAGCTGCCTCTCAAACAGAAGTTTGAATGACACCAATTTAAGACATTCATTGTAATTGTGAACCTTGTCATAATTTCATAATGTCTTTATCTTATTTCTGTGTTCCAGGCAGTTGTTGAATATTGTGATGGGTATTTTCCACTAGTATTTTGATCAATCAAAATAATAATCACTTAGATAAAAACATAATTAGCAGGTTAATCAATAATGGCATTAACATTCTGCCTTATGACACTAAGGTGCATCAACCCAGCTTTTAATTCTTCACTTGGTTTGTGTTTACATTTAGTCAGTTTTATTATTCATATTATTTACTTACCACAGTGTAAAAATACTACAAGTAAAAGTGTTGTAGAGTGAAAGTGCCCATTATGCATAAAAATACCACCCTGTGACAGATGTATTGTTGGATATTTTATTGTTTAATTATCAATATTGCTGCTTTAGAGAACAAGTAGCAATTTACTAGTGTGGTTCATTGAAGTTCAGCTCATTTGAACTTTTAAAATGGACACAACAGATGGACAGAAAACAGACCACACACACACACACACACACACACACATTTTACACAGCTGAGAACCCAGTGCTCCATATTGCTCTGTGCTGCTATTTGTCAAGAGAACACACAATAAAGGACACGTGCCTAATGAGGAAACACTCTACAGCAAATAAATCACCTATACAGACAGTCAGGAATAAAAAAGCATTATGCTACCTCTCTTGCACAGATATAGGAGAGTGTCTGTGTGTTGAAATTCAGTTTGTTTGGTCTGTTCATGTGCATATTTATGTGGGTGATTTCCTGCCTTCTTCATGTCTGTATTATTATGAAATGTGATATTTGTGTGAGTGTGTCAATGTTAACAAACTCCTCATTTCTCAGTGACTGAAAGGGATTCTTTGTCTATTGTCCTGCAGAACAACGTGTATTGGTCTGTGTGTGTGTGTGTGTGTGTGTGTCAGGACAGGAGAGGGAGAATGTTGTGTTTTTGTGACAGTGCATTTAGGTGGTGGGACTTTATGTCTCCTTCCCTTCCTAATCCTGACTTTCTGCTGTGTGTGTGTGTGTGTGGGGGGGGTGGGGGGTGTTACTGGTGGTATTTTCAGATAAATCACTCCCCAACACATGCATATGAAAGCATGAAAGCAGCTGGTGAAGTCCGACCGTGTGCCCATTAACTGGAACAACACATCACACATCTGTGTTTGTGGTCTTGTTTTTCTATAATTGTGCGGCCCAAAATCCTTGAGTTGCTATCTACGTGGGGACTGGAAGTCACTTGTGGGGACCGGAGGCTGTGGGGACCGGAGGCTGGTCCCCACAAGTGATGTCAAAGTGTATGTAGGGACCCAGTAAGTGACAAAAACAATGTGGGTGGGTGGGGTGATATCCATAGATCCTTCAGGACAAAACAACAACAAAACAGCCATAAATAGGCTGGTTTGTTGTTGATTCTGTGCTACCATGAGACTAAAAACAGAACCAGACTTCCACAAATCTTGACTCATAATTTATGAACTTATTTATTTATGAAGATCTTTTTAAACTAGATTTTTTTTTTTAAGTTTAATGATTGTAAAGGCCTCAAATAGATTTGGTTCACTTAGCTGATCTTTCTAGACAAGTAAGAGTTCCTGAAATGTTTGCTTGTAAAACTAGATTAATCAAGTGCTTTATTTATATTTTTAGATTATTATATGGACATTTTAAAGTTACAAAATTAAAAACCAACAATAAACATAAAAAGGAAAAAAGGTGTAAATAAAGTGCACCAATGTGGACCAGTTTTTTAAAATATATGTTAAATACAATAAAGACACAGTAACTTGAATAAAATTCGAGTTTTAAAAATTTATGTCAGATTATACAGAAATTAATACTGTTTTACTCCATCATATTTTTGCATGTTTAGATGATGACACAAGTGACACATCCAGTGGTCACAGCCCAGAATCAGAGAACATGGCTCCTCCTCCTCCTCCTCATCACCTCTCACCTCCACAGGTAGGTCCTTCACCTTTTCAGAGTTTTGACAGCCATATTTTATTTCATAAGTATTGCTCCCAACAACATAAAGAGAACATTTAACAAGCTGCACAGTCCAGATGACATTAGCAGGAAACTGTTTGGCGGAGGAGCTGATCACTCTGCAACAACAAGACTCCTGGCAGTGTTGTATACTGTAATAGAATATTTCCTTCAGTGTGGGAATGCTGTGAGTGGCTTGGAGCTGGCATGCATGTGAGAATGACTGAGCTAGTGGAAGAGGACACACACAAACACACACACACACACACACGTTGTTTTGTCAGCTTTCATGCAGCGTTCAGGATGGATCTGTTAGTGTATATCAGAGCAGCCAGATCTTTAGAATAAATCTTTACTTATCTGTTTATTTTACACCCCAACGTTTTTCCTCAACACTGCGACAAGCTGCTGTGATTAATGACTACAAACCTAATGTGTGATTGATCAATCCATCGTCTGCTGAGCTCAGATCCTGACACATCTCATGATCAGTATAGATGATCGTTTAAATAATCACTTTATTCTTTAATACTGTACGTGCCTTTTGCTTTATTCAGCCACGATAGGGCACCTCCACTATACACAGGTTTCCCATTTACGAACAATCAAGTATCAGGGTTACCTGTAGAAAATAACTAAACAAGTCTAAGTCCATTTACCATTGTGCAGTTAAAGCTAGAAATATTTTAAACAATAACTCTACATGTAGTTTATTTTCTAACCCCTGTGTGTACACATCTCTCAGAGGATGTTACTGTATGCACATCCAGATGTATAAATACCCACACAAATGCTTGCATATATTATGAGCACACAGACAGTGACAGACACATGCACATGGATACCCAGTATCTTTATATTATATGAGCAGAATGCTAATCAACAACTGCTTTTATCATTTACATATACTGTGTTTCCTTCCTTCTTTACTGGGTTATTCTGTTCTCCCCCTCACTCGCTTCCACTTCAGTTTGTATCTTATTGCATGTTGTCTGTCAGGTGGCTGTTCCAGGCTCAGCCCACATGATGACCGGTGAACCCTTAGCATTGACCCTGGTGACCCTGGTGCTGCTGTCGCCCGGAGACCCTCACTGATCATCACAGGCAGATCCTGAGATGGTCAAAGACAGGAGAGACTGAGAGACTACCACACACTGTAGGTCTGTGGTGAAGCTGGGGGTTTTCTGTAAGCTCAACTCAACCACTCTGATTGTTATTTTGGGTGGTCCGGCTGGTGATTTAGCACAGTTGCAGGTGCACAGTATGCATTTTCATATGATCTGAACTGACTTCTACATATGTTTATTTAACTTAACTCATACACTAGGATAGACTGCACAGCACTACTGAATTTTTTGGAAGAGAAATGTAAATACAAATAAATATATATTTATATAAAGAGATTCTATAGGAAACAATGGCTTGATGTGTAAATAGGGATTAATATAGAGCAGAACAGCCTGACTTGTTTTAGTTTGACCTTTACATTACAGTATGTATCTCACACAGAGATTAAGATCCATGGGTTTAAGCTAAAGGCTTAATAGTGTTAACACAGCAGTGCAGCTACAGTGAAAGCACAAAGGTTACCATAAATATAGATATAGGCTGGAAATAAAGGAGCTTTCTCAATACGCAAAACAGTCAGTTGTGTCATACTTTTCACAGATGGTCATGCAGTAAAATGTCTTTGACAATTTGGTCTGTAGGTCTGTGCAGAGTGACACCCATCCTGTTCATTGGTTCATGCACGCTTCCAAAAATTCTTCCAATATTTACCTCTGTCTTCTCATAGTTTGTCATTTATGTTTGTCTAGTGCAGGTACTTGTGTAGTTTTGGTAGCTGTGGGAAAAATGAGGAAGAGCTATTTTTTAGATGTTCAGAGTGCAGAGTTTTAAAAGCAATAGAGGGAGGGATGTAACAGCTTCAACTTCAGCTGCACTTATAAGCTGCCACTGCCATCCTTGACAGGATTGCCCTGTCAAAAATAAGACTGTTCTGAACACTAAAAGCACTCAATAGTAGAATAGAATAGTAAGTACAGTGTTTGACCACTTGCATTTCATTGTCATAACAATGTACTTATATGGCAGGCTGTTCTCCAAGTGTATTAATTAAAGTTGAAATGAGAGACTATAAAACACTGAACAAAATGTAGTGAACTTTGTTTTTGAGTTTGATAGATATGTTATGAGCTTGTCTCAGTACTGAGTGAAAACAAGAGAGTGATCAGTACATCTGAGCCCAGATCCAAAATGTGAATGAACCATAATTCCTATTAATTAGGTTTATCAAGTTCTCCTGCCTCTCTTGAGTCTCACACCTCCCAAACAGCTCATAACAGCAACACGGACCCTGGAGTACTGATTATTACATTCAAAATGGATCAAATGAACTAGGGAAGAACACTGTGTGCACTTCTGTCAGAGAGTTCTGTCTTCTCACATATATCATTATGTGCTGCAGGTATTAACTTGTTCAGATATTCGTAAGAAATAAACTGTTTCTTTTGAAGTTTCACATTGCAGATTAAGTTACAGTCAATTCTGTGCTGCAAATTAGCAGAAGTCTCATGAATGCATCTTATTTCACCGCCTGATAAAGTTTCTTTTTGAGGATTGTGACTGACAGATGAGGTGACTTAAGAAATACCATTAAAAATCTCAGTGTGTGTGTTATCTTGGCAGTAAGCCCAAATACTGTGTCTGCTAGTGGGATTCTGTTACACCATAATCTGTCGAACCAATGTGCTATTATCTGATTACATTTTAAATGTTAAACCTAGATGAGATGAGCCAACCCTCCCAGCTTCCAAGCCCACCACTTGCCGAACACAAACATAAACAAACCACCAACGCACGAATACATATTGACCATAAACAAGATAAGCAGATAAGGAAAATAACATGGATGCACAGTATTTTCTTGTTTGTCAACCTGAGATAAGAACACGAACAGAAATTGTGGAGATTTAAAAAATCTAAAAACAAATTTTAGATATGCTTAGAACCTTTGTAAAACATAAGATAATGAGCATGTACAGTGCTTTGGGGTAATAATTTAAATTACATTCTCATTAAGACCTCATTAACGTCATTTATCAAAGTCTAACATCTATCTTAGCTTAGCCTTCTTAGTTTGTTTGTGGCAGTATACAGGACCACCAGGATGCAACATACACCCAGTCAGCAGCTGTGGTTTCTCTCTCCACACTCAGTGCTAATGTAAACTAAACCAGCGAGCCTGATGTCAAACTTTAAATCAACCTGTACTGTGTCTTGCCACTTTGTTGTGTCAATAATCATCAGTTTATTATCTTCAGTAATAAACTGTGTTATTAAACTTATGCTGTACTTTGTCTTTCATATGTGTCAGTCCCAGAGTACGATGTTGTGCGGGAGACAGAAACGGAACAGAAACATGGTGTAAGAGAGCAAAAATAATCTCATCCATTAATGCTGCCATATCTTGAAGCAGTCACTGGAAGTACAGCAGTAATAATGTCTGAGAATCATAATAATGAAACCTTCCTCAATTAGAAAATAATAATCTGGATTTTAAAAATCTAATATAAAGCAGCAGTCCTGGATTTGCACTGCATACTGAGTTTGCTGCATCTCATGTCTCTTATTTGATCGCTCCTCACTTCTCAATCCTCACTCAACATGGAAATTGTCGAGGACTGAGGACATCTCAGGACTCTTATTGCTACTCTGAAGAGAGAAGAAGCTGCTGGAAGAGCCACGAGCAAGCTTACAAGAGAGTATCATTTACAGACGTCTTTTGGGTGTTGACGCACCATTTATCAAAAATCAGCTGATAATTGGACAGTCCAGATAAAGGATCAGGGGAAAGGATGTTACTTGTCGCTTTAAATGCATTTCCTTGACTCCTCTCTTCTCTTGTTTTTCCTTGCATCTTTTTTTGGGTGGGACTAAGATGCAAGAAAAGGGCACAAGTGAGGAAAACAGTGCTGCATAAAAAGTCACTTGGGATGTACCTCTCACAGTAACTAGGAATTCTGGGAACACCACTAGAATGTAAAATTAAGTTTTTTAGGTTTGGTTAATGTTTGGCTTGAAATAACTTACTGTGACTTGCTACTTAAGGATTGTAAAATGTACATTTTCAGCTAAATTGTAGCTGGGCACTTTCATAATGCAGATGATGGGTTTAAACATACAGGGGTTTTGAGCCATCAGAGGCTTATGCATATATTATATGGGCACACAGTCACAGCTCTATGGCCTCTGGCCCTTTGAGAGATTACTGTAATTGGATTGGCATGGTCAGAAGGCTGGCACAGATTGTGTGGTTGGCACAAGGAGCTGCCAGGGGATGATGGGAAATAAAGACATCATTGAATGCAAATTGCTGCAGTGAGGAAGACACAGAGCGATGGAGAGAGAAGTGGGGGGAGCAAGACTGTGAGCATCAGCCTGATGTTGGCACTGTCAACCCACACTGTGGGGCCGCTGTGGCTTAGGAGGTAGAGCGGTTGTCCCCTAACGAGTAGGTCGGCAGTTCAATTCCTGTTCTTCCCAGTCAAAGTGTTCTTGGGCAAGATGCTGAACTCCAAGTTGGTGGCCAGAGACAGCGCCACCATTGGTGTATTAGTGCTGCAGATGGTTCCCACAATTCTGTACCAGAGACAAAATCCTTGAAGAAATAGTCTTCAACCATTTCTTCATGCTGTCTTAAAATGTTATGTTTTTGTAGGTTATAAATTCTTAGTTTTTTCTTTTTTGTTTCTGTGCTGCTTTGATTGATTAGCTTGAAGTGAATGCCTGATGCACCTCAGCTAAAAAGGGCGTAGGACAAGAACAGACAGAAAGCAGAAGAGTGAGAGGAAGGAGGTGAAAAAGAGAGAAACTGGGATAAGAGTTCATAAGTGAGATGGAGCCGAAGGGTGTTTCAACAAGCTGGTGATGCTGAATAATATCCTTCCTGTGTGCCAGCACTAATCAAATCAGAGCTCTGATTATTTTAATCCTGTCCAAGAGTCATGATTGAGGTTTGTCCTATCTAAATCATATTAATGTTCCTATCCTCGTCAGCGTTTGCAACCTTCCTGGCACACCATTCTTCCAAAAGATGTTACCTCATGTGACATTTTGATGATGGTGATAAAGATGCTGTCTAACAAATCAGTCCAAAATCTCCCATAAGTGTTCAACCGGGTTTAGATCTAGTGACATATGACTCACTTCCTTTTCATATTTACAGTGACCCCTCGTGTCCTATGGACATGTGCACTGTCATCCTGAAAAAGGCTGCTCATTTAATCAGGTTTTTCTTTTAATTTGTCACCTGTCTGTATTAGTTATGAATGCATGCCCTGCACCGGAAAGCATTTATTTGTCAATTTGGGTCCATGTAAAAGGAAATGGGCCCTTCTTCCTGATTTTTAAAGTTTTAGTGTTATGTGCAGATGCAGTATTTAATAATAAGGATAATAATCACCTTTATTTGGCCAAGTATGTTACACACAAGGAAAACTGCAACCTGACATCAGTGATCGAGTGCTGCAGCATCAGATCTGTTGTCTCTTTTATCCTTTGGGTGTTCTTTCAGTTACTCTCACTGGAGCTGTGATTATTAAATTTATTGTCTCAAAATGCTTTTGGGTGAATCAGAGATCCTCGAATATCAACAGCTGCTGATGGAATCTAAATGGCAGAGGTGTGGCGCTACTCTAAATCTGGATTGGGCATTTATGACTCACTTAAACCTGTAAGTTGATCAACTTCACAGTGTCTGGCTACCTCCTTCTACCCACAGTCTATAACGCCAACACACCGTAGGGCAGCTTTGCTGAACCAATCAGGGAGTAAGTGTCTTCCTGAAGGGCACTTTTAACACCAGTTTCTGTGTGAAAGAAGAGCACTGAATCACTTAACTCACCTTAACACACTTGTGTTAACCCAACCATAACAGCAGCATTGGAACTAATTAGTACTGATGAGAATCTTTTGCAGGTATATTTCATAAACTAAAGTGTGAGACGAAGCTTTGAACACAAAACAAATGATGTGTTATATGCAAAGATAAGGGATCACCATAATTATTTTCTGTGCACAAAATTCTCCCTGCCACAATCTCAGTCTTGGCCCTGTATCCACTCTGTGTTTTCCCTTGTCTGTGTTCCATTTTCCCATGCCTACCTGCTCCGCCCACACTCACCTCCGTCCTATCTGTGCAATCATACAGTCAATAAATAAGCCAGCAGCCTGCATTCATGTGCTGCCAGGTTGTTTAGCAACCGCTCTCAGACTTACCAGTTCATACCTTTCTCCTACTGGACTCCAGCCTTGCCTGCCACAGTCTGTATTGTTTGCCTCACCCGTATGTGGATGCTTGTACACCCCTGGATCTGGCCAGTCATCTAATCTTTCCCTGAAATGTTTGCTTTTGTCTGTCTGCTCGGTACCCAACTGTTTAGGGTCCATTACAATGATCAAGCCTTCCCTGGTAAGTCTGCCTTGTTGAAGTTATATTCCTGCTATGTTCTCACACCTCCAACACTGGTTGCATGTGGTTCTGCATCAAAACAAAAGTATTAAAACATCAAATGTCATTTCAGTCAAATCAGTAAGTGTCCAGCTGCTGGTGGCACTAATGAAAAGGCAGGGGAATCACTGAGGTGAGTAAGATTTATCATGGATGCAGAAATCACAATTTGAATTCAAAGATTTGCAGCAGCATTCATATCCAACAGCATCAGCTTGAATGCTGATGTGACTGCAAGCTGATCGGACAAGGGGGACTAAGTTTACTCAGACTAAACCTTCATGACTCAGCATAATGCAAGCAAATGCCAAACACTGAACGTACCTGTGTTGTGTCATGTTTTCTCTTATCTAAATCTGATTTTATTCCCCCTGTTTGGAATATAAAACAAAACAGGTCCCTAGGCACAAAAATACTCCTACATAAGAGTAGGACTCACAAATCAGAGAATGCAGTCAGTTTGAGTCAACTTGTGGTTGGTTTTAGTCCCTTTTGAAGTTGTTTTGCATCTGTTTTTAGCTAGTTTGTGCTCATTTTCATCCATTTCAAGAATCTTTGTAAATAGCTTTACTCAGGTCTTTGCAGTTGTTCTGTGTCTCTTTGTCATTCCACATATACAGTATTTGTACAGTTGTTGTTTTGCTGTGTTTGGGGTCTTTTCTGTCTTTTTTCTGTCATGTCATCTACAGGAAACATAATTTAGCAACACTGCTCTCAGTCACCAGTAACTGCAGCTCCACTGCCAACACCTACTGTCTGTTCACTTAGAAGTGTTAAATATTTCTTCGTACATGTGGTTGAAATATTTTGCTCTGAACCAAAGTGGTGGGCGACTGACAGACCAGCTGAGGCAGGGTGCTGGCATCCTTCCTCTTGTCTGTTGTCTCACATTTCTGCTAACTGAATTTGGCCTTCATCATTAACACCAAGCTGTTTTCAGGTTGCAGCAGGTCCACGATGACCTGGACGCCAGCCAGACACTCACTCCTGTGCTATTACTGTATGTCACTATTTATTGGTCACAACTGAGTGATAGATAGTTTGGATAGGAGGTAAGCTATTAAAGTTTCATCACCTGTGTGATTTAATGTTTGCACAGTATGTGTACAGCTGGCGTGTGCTGTGTTTACAGCAATGCTCCACTGTTGTTTGTCGTTTCTTGGTTTAGTTGGAGCATTGCTGCTTCGATGAGAATGACTGACAAAAGTTGGTTGGTTTTAAAATCTGTTGAGAAGGAAGTATCATTTTCATTTTGACTTGCAAGCTTGAAAAGAGACAGAGTCAAACAGAAACAAATGTCAGTGCAGCTCAGAATCACACACACACACACACACACACACACACACACACTTGCAGGTCTCTATATGTAGGTCATTGCAGGCTGAGCTGCTTTGTCTTTCATCATTTTTCTCCTTGACATCTTCATTCTCTGATGCATTGCAGGTATGGACTTGGAAACACAGAGCACTGCACTGTATCTGCATGATACTAAAAGGCTTGATGTGCACGTGGACAGCAAGGTGCAAGGAATCGTGAAGAGGGAAGAGAATGAAAAATGGTAGAGTGTTAAAGTATTGCAACTCTCTTCACTACAGTGTTTGGGTTTAGTTAATGGCAGATACAAAAGGTCAGGAAGTTCAGATGAGGAGAAAGGGGAAGGAAGAAAACAGGGTGAATTAGAATGAGTTCAAGAGCTGAGCTGATGGTTCGTTCTTGTAGTTAATGGAGATGTGTGTGATTGATGACCTGGTTTGGCTAGCTTTGGGAAAATAACCAGTTTTGAAACTG